GGGGAGGGGGGTATCAAATTATTTTTTTTCGGGGGAATCACATGGTTTTCCGGGCAAACAGAATCAGTCGTCGCTGACAGGGTATTAAACTGGGGGGACTATAAAAATTGAATGCCACGATACCTTTTATCATGGTTCGTTTCCTTTCAAGTAAAGCTTCGACAGGCCATGTGACTTTTTAAATTACAATGACATGGCATGATGCGGAATGGCATGGGATGTTATGACATGACTTGATATTGCATGGTATGACATGGAATGGTACAGAATGGGATTGCATGACATGAGATGAGATGACGTGACATCATATTACTGTGCATAACATGAGATCACTTGGCATTGCATGGTAGGCATGGTATATATGACATGGAATTTCATGGCATGGAATGACATGACGTTGCACGTTTTGTCAAATGAAAATTGATTTAATTTCATCTTCTTTTCATAGAATGTCGTGGTGCTCTGGGATTGGAAAGCGGTGTGATCACTGATGGCCAAATTACAGCTTCTTCTGAAGCTGGCGCTAAGTTGGCACCCAGCAATGCAAGGTTACATTTAAAGAAACAGAAGACACCTAGAAAGAGGGACGGTGGTTGGTCAGCTAAGAAAGGTGATGTCAATAAGTGGCTCCAAATTGATCTTTTTGACGAGAATGCTAAAGTGACTGGTGTAGCTACACAAGGACGAGAAGACAACAACCAGTGGGTACTAGAGTACAAGTTACAGTTCAGTGATGATGGAGTGGACTTTCAAGACTACGTGGAACCAGGACAGACTGAGGGAAAGGTAAGTAGATCTAACATTAAACAAACTTGGAGGCTCGAGGCAGCAAATATATTATTATACGTAGAAAGCTTAATGAAATCCAAAAGCCTGGGTAATGATAACTTGATAATTTGGTTTTATCAACTTAGTTGATAACGTAGATTTGAAACTCTTAACGCTGACCAATTTCCACTGTCAACTTACTTGATAAAACCAATTTATCCTGCGCAGTACCACAGTTTCTTAAGAAGCTTACCACTTTTAAAGATATCTTGGTTTGGTCCATAATCTAAAATACATTTCTTTCCGTTACTTCCTTAGGTATTTACCGGTAACACAGACAGATCGACTGTTGTTCGTCACGATTTGAGTCAACCAATCACGGCTCGTTTCGTCCGTTTTCGGCCTCTCATTTGGAAGGGGGCCATATCCATGAGAGCGGAGCTCTATGGTTGCTTGGGTAATATAGAAATAGTTTCTAATTTCTAGTCGCTACCATATATTTCATTTTATTCACCCTTACATCAATGAATTACATGTCGCGCGATAAGGTAGCCCAGTTCCGATTTTTTTAGCACTATAGTACCCTCCGTGTTGTAGATTTTGATAAATTTATACGCTTACAATTGTAAACTATCGCAAGGTAACCAGTTTTAGTAACCCAGTATTTATTTGTATCAAAAATATAGCTCAAACATGTGCAAACCCTCTCGGCATGGAAAGTGGTGAAATCTCCGACGCACAGCTCTCTGCTTCTTCGAAAGTTGGCACAAACCATGGACCACAGCGTGGACGACTAAACATTTGGAGACAGTGGTCGTCGAGAGGTGCTTGGTCTGCTGAAACAGATGATGTCAATCAGTGGTTCCAGGTTGATCTTCTGAGTCAATATACAAAAGTGACGGCCATAGCTACACAAGGAAGTGAAGACATGAAGGAGTGGGTCACTAAATACAAGCTGCACCACAGCCAGGATGGAGTAAATTTCGATTCATATAAAGAGCCTAGAGAAGCTATAGACAAGGTTAGATATGTACTGGATCTCAGGGCCTCATTCAGCCAAGCTTATCCCAGTTTCTGCAACATTAAACGAAATGAAGTATTGCTATAACCTCTGTATAGAATGCTAGTCCATCGCCAGGTTCCCCTGACCGTTTGCCGGTGCTCATTTATGCTCCTGGGTGGAGAGATGCACTGTGAGAGTTAAGTGCCTTACTCGAGAATACACAACAATGACCCGGTCATGTCTCTTACCGAGGCTCCTCAACTTGGAGTCAACTGCGATAACTTGTAGGCAACTTTATCTCCCACGAAAATCTAATTAAAATAATATGTTCTTAACGCATCGCAAGTTCAACGTCTCCAAGTTTTTATTACAGCACTCCTAAGTTTTAAAAAAAAAAACGCGTGAAATCGTCTTAGCAATTGTCTCAGTTAAGGTTATCTACAACATGTGCTCAAATAAATCTGTTGTTATGTTGCAAAGAGAGAACAAACCAGCTGCTGCTGCCAGACTTGACTTTGATCTAATGGATTGAGTTTTTAATGAGCTCAAATATTGATTAATCTTGTGCAGGATTTTGCGGGAAACAAGGACCAGAACACCATCGTTTATCATAAACTAAAAAAGCCAATTATCGCACGTTTCATCCGATTTGTTCCCATGGCATGGTTTGGACACATCTCCATGCGGGTGGAACTTTATGGCTGCTCAGGTATAAATTGATCTTAATTAGTTTTTAGTTTATTTTATTCTTTATTTTTCTAAGGGTCTTCCCACACTGTTATCGCTCATGCAAATGCGAACTGCTGGAGTCGAAGGAGGGTTTGTATAAGAGAAAGTAATACGGTCTTAAGAAACAATGTCGCTTTAATGAATATACATACCTTCATAACTTATATCGTATGTCCTATCTTGTAGCTCTGTTGGAAAATTTGGACGAGAACGGAGATGGATTTGCCAGCCAAAGTGAAATAGTAAACTTTGGATTAGTGTGGCAGGGTGACGTAGACTACTTCGATCTGAACTGTAAGTGCACAATTTTTAAATTTTTACTAAATTTAAAAGTTGGTCTCTGATACCTCTTTCCCTGTGGAAAAGGTGACGGTGGTCAGCACGGTCGACACCGGGTCAGGAGGTCTGGATTCGAGGCCTTACGAGGAAATTGAAGTGTATTTGTGGGCAGGACACTCCGCTGTAAGTAGACCTCGGTACACCCAGGAATACAACTGGTTACTGGAAAACTGTCAGGGAAGCCAGACGAAAAAGTGGGGAGGGAGGGAGTTGGGGGTTGCCTAGTAATATCCCTAACTGCTTCATGCCGCAGAGATCAGGATAGGCTTCACTGCCCATGACTTCACGAGCGTCTTTCCCAGACTAAAGACATTTTTAAGAATGCGTGGTAATGACGAACAACACCAGTTTTTTTTTTGTCTTTGAAAGGTGTTTCAAAATACATATCTCCACAGATGATGGTAAGCTCAATCTCGAGGAGACCAAAATACTGATGTCCAAAGACTTAGAAAAGAAAAAGATGATATGCCATTTCAAAGCCACTGACACGAACCATGACTTGTTCGTGACGGTGGAAGAGCTGAAAACACGATTTGAACATCTCAAATATGACATTACTCAAGACGGAGTTGTTGAATTTATTCAGCAAGGAGACGACGATGTGGCAGATAATAAATTCAACTACAACGGTGGGGAATTAAAAATATTAGTGTCATAAGTAAAGGGAAAATAGACAAGCAGCGACGTGAGTGTGCCATGAAGTTCCCCGGATGCGAGAGAACCCTACGTTATTAATGAAAACTGATAATTTATAATGAATAGATTATGATAACGATGATGACGACGATGACAATGCAGATAAAATAATGATGACCATGATTATGTTGACAATAACGATGACAGTCATAACGAAAATAAGTGGTAATGATGGTACTGATTAGGGTGATGACACTAGTGATGGCGGTAACGATCACTATGGTGATTAATGCTGTTGAAGACGATAACGATGATTATGGCGACGGATGAAATTGGTCGTTGTGGTGAAGTGGTCGTCATGGAATAAATGTCGGTATTTGAGCCTATATATACATATAAGTTTTAATTGCTTTTTTTAAATTTGTTTCAGAGTTCAAGAAAGCCATGTTCAACGCCTGATACCAGGCCTTCTGCGGGACATTTGAGGAGAAACGTGCTGTCACACAGACAGTCACTTTGTTGTGGCTAAAAATGCTTTGATTTGTTTCTTCTCGGTGACTTAGATTGATAAAAAAAGGGATGTAACAATAAAGAAATTGAACTTAATCAACTTGTATTTAAACCCATGGGACTCAAGACCCTCCATAGCATCCTACCAGTTTACAAGTCCAAATATAGTTCAAGTCTCAGGCTTCCGAATCCCGTTTCTCAGCCCGTTATTAGTTCAAATCGTAGCTCCCAGCGATTACTGGAATTCCCATTCAATTTCATTGCATCTAATCAGGAGAATATCTAATAGAATTATCAAAAGAGCAATTACTGAAAAAATCGTTCAGATTTAATCGAATCGCAGATGCAAGGAAACAAAAAGAACGGGATACAATTGCGCAGTTGTTGCCCGCGCGCTGAATACAACAACATGTTTTGGCCATATGATTGTTTAAGGGAAAGTCTAAATATATACGAAAACACTTAATGTATGGTCCCTCAGGAAACTAGTCAGTTTTGTTTTCCGTCGAGTCCTAATGTTTCCCGAGACGAAGTCGAGGGAAACATCAGGACTCTCGGGGGAAAAAACTAACTGTTTCCCTCGGGATCAAATATTAAGTATATATTTGTCAGCAACGACCCCTGCTCGCTCTAGCTATTCATCCATTCGAAAATGCAACATAATTTTTCTGTTATATCAACAGAGCTGATAAATGTAAATTGGCCATCGAAAGTTTCTGGAACTGCCTGATGTAGGGAAAGGACGCAGACTGTCAAATATTTCCTTTCCCCGCATCTAGGCAGTTCAGAAAGCTGCAAAACTCTAGAACAAAAATATATCTTTAGATGGTTCTCTTAAACTACGCGGTATCCTCAAACGCTTTTCATATCAACTCGTTCCCACCAAAAGTGTATCTCTACATTTCTGTTTATAAACTACACACAACCCACAATCCCATTATTCGCTCTGAAGAAGGGCCAACGTTCGACACGTCAGCTTTGGGAACTCGGTAACCAATTTACATAATAAACTTAGTTGATAAAGCCAAATTATCTTTTGCTACCCACTCCTCCCCCAAGCGACGTAGTACCACAGTTTCTTTAGAACTTTCCCTCTTTATTCACACGAAAAAACATCTGCTTTGAGTAAAGTTTTAAAGGTTGTGTTATTATCAGAACTGTAATTTTTTGTATTTATTTAGCAGTTAAGTATTAGAAATACTGTTAAGCGTTGTAAATAGTGTATTTTCAGTTTTTGTTTGGTAGTGTTTACTTTTTCTTTGTTAGTTTAATAATTGTTTAGTTAAGTAACCATAGTTAACGATGTCTGAAACCATGGTTAGTAATGTATACAGCAGTACACATCAGTTTGCGTTACACTTGCGTGTTTTTTTTTTCAGCAAAGTGCAATTAAAACTTTTAGAAAGGCCATATAATTTAGTTTTAACTACTAAGAATATATCTAGCTAATAATGCTAACATTGTTCGATTGCACAGAACGGCCTAATGAAAATATATTGCGGTGGGAATATCAAAATGTTTTCGAATTATAAGAATAAATGATATGTTTAAGAAAACAAAATATATCATATGTTGTAGATTTAGCTTCAATCTCTGTGAAATTGAGCCAGAAAATACGGGTGCTTCCTATTTGAAAGGAAAACCTTAAATGTTGCAGCGTCGCCAGCTGAAAAAAATGATAAGATAAAGGAAATATGCCATTAGAATGCGTTTTTCATTTTGTTTGAGGAAGAAATCTGTTCCTTTTCAGAAACATCAATTCTCATTATCACCATAAGTAAGAGGGGATGCTAATTGCTGTAAACAATGATTCTCTTTGTTTCACAGTAGTGCTAAAGCAATTGAAAAGAAAGAAGTGGGTGTTTACTTTTTGAACACCTTTCATTCAAAATCAATCTACCCTAAGAGAACTGGTTAAACAAAAATATTGAAATGTAGTTATATTTAAACCTCTTTGTTATATTCAGAAAAAATGCTATAAATCTGTAGTCACATGGCTTTATTCACATGCATTTCTTTTTCAGCCAAGGTCACTTCGATTTCCACAGCAAAGGTCAGTGTTCATTTTTTAAAAGTGATTTTTATTTCGCATTTTCGGGTCCCAACTTAAAGGTCCTTATTGTACATGGATTACGTAAATATCAGAAATTCCACTTATCGCAATATTAGCCCTGATGTAAATTTAAAATCATGCTGATAAAAATGCAATCTGTTTTAGCTTTCTTTGATACTTAAATTTTGTTCAGTTGTCGGTTTCCTAACTTGGAAAACTTTGGTCCATTCAAGCTGATTAAGAGAAATGAAGGACATAACGATATGGATCCTGTTGATGTCTGCTGTGGGAACAACGATGGATGCAGCATCGGTAATGATACAAGTCTTCTCTTGCTCTTTAAGTTTCAAAAATTCGTCTTCCCGTTAGAACCAATTCTCCATGTAAGAGGGTCTCATGGAGTTCATCGTTCGCCGCAAAACGGTAAAATTATTGGCAGCTGGGCGTAAAATTTCAGAAATCTTAAGAGTTAGTGAAATAGAAAGTTAACCATGAATTTTTTTCTTTGATTGGAACGAAAAGAAAATAACCTTTAGCAATCATCCCATTGAGAACCTAACGTAAGAACATATCTATTAAGCAAACAGTTTCTTCATTCTGCCTCTTCGGTTCGCTAAAGATTCTGAAAAATACGAATGAAAGCGACAATCGCGACTAACTCTTCGAATTCTCTAAAAGGATTCGGACTTTATTTATTCCATGCTCAAGACAAAGTTAACTGTGTTCTTTTCAAAGAAAATTGTTTGCTTTCACTTTGGGAATTCGAAGGTAACCATAAAAAAGTTCATTAAAAGAGTGAATAAGGTATGAGAAAAAGGCTTTGATTTGCAATTTTTTTTTAGAAGACTATACAAACATAGATGAAAGAGGTTTCAATAGATTAACAAGGGCATTTGTACTCTTTAATTGTCATGAAAAGTGTGTTTGATGGCTCATTAAGAGGATTGTTACACAAGAATAGCGTACACTTGCTTCACCCTTGTTACTGAGTTACCTTGATTGTGTAGAAGGCGTTTTTTTTCTCGCCTATTTCTTTCTCTATCACCAGAATAGGATCATTTTAAAAAAACATTTACATGCATTTTGAAAGAGCACAAAGAAATATTTTTGACGACAGAAATTACGTCAATTATTTACAATTTCTTATAATTCATCGATTCGACCAGGTTATAGAAAAATTATTTCCAGATATAAGGGATAGTGTTGTACAAACAGCATTTTAGGCAAGATTTTCATGCAATGTCATACTCCACTACGTAAACAGTTATACAAGAAAAGAAAATATGGCAATAACAACAGGTTAACTTTGGGACGAGTGCTTTACTCCGGAATAGTATGCCGTGAATTTAAACAACAAAAAAAAGGCATCTCGAGAGAATTTGTATTTCATAAATGAAATGTTTTGTATTACAGGTAAAATTCAGCGGTGTGCAAGATGACGGTAAGATCATAACTGTGTTCACTAGATCTTTTCAAGGATCTGTGTTACTTTTTAAGTACGGTTAATCAATGATTAGTGAGAGTAGTTTATGCAACCTAGATGACTAAGGAAATGTCAATGTAATTAAGGATTTTGGCGTAAGAGCTGATTTTAGGTTGAGCGCAAATCCTTTATTTCAACAATGCATTTTGCTAGCAGAACATTCGATTGCAACAACTTTGATACCCGGAAAGCTCCCTCCATGAATGGTGAGCCCAATCGCTTTGTGGGAAATTTTCGCACAGTTTCATAATCAGTGCATAATTTTTTTCAGTATTCATGGCAAGTCTTTGTTCATGATAATTCGTTTCTTTCCAAAAAAGTGTGGGTGGTTTTTATCATTTACCGTGCGCAACTACATATGGCATCATGTATATGTGTACTTATAAGGCCGTTGGATGCCACCGTTCATTGCGGACACTTTTTCAACGTCTTTGCGATGGAGTGTATACTAGACAAAACATGTCATGTGCATTTGTACTCATAAAGCTATCGGATCCCATCGTTCATCGCCAACGCTTTATAGGAGTCAACGTTTTCGCAATTGAGTGTATACCAAACAAAACATTATTCTAAGTATGAGTCTTGGCCCTGTTTTAAGACAAATGTATTTATGCATCTTCAAAATAGCCAACTGCTAGATGTGTATATTTTTGTGTTAAAGTTCTCATCTACTGCAAATGGAGTTTGAATTATCTTAATCGATTGAAAATCCAGGAGAATGCAAAGAACCTCTTGGCCTTGAAAGGGGTAATGTCACCGACGGACAGCTCAGTGCCTCTTCGGAATGGGACGGGAACCATAGCCCCAGGCGCGCCAGACTAAATATTCAAAAAGAAGGCAGCCAGCGAGGCGCTTGGTCCTCTCGCAGGAGGGACGGCAACCAGTGGCTCCAGATTGATCTCTTTGACGAAACCGCTAAAGTGACCGGTGTTGCCACACAAGGAAGGGCTGACTATAACCAGTGGGTCACTAAGTTCAGGCTTCAGTACAGCAAGGACGGAAAGAACTTTCAGTTCTACAAAAGGAAAGGACAATCTGCGATCGAGGTGAATCGACTCGTAGAAGTACATCCAATATGACAGTCATAGGCCATGTTACACGAAACTATTTGTTTTACAGCTTGTCTCACAACTAATAGACCCAGAACAACCAGTTCAGAGTCGCGAATTTTACTTACGTTGCCATCTCGGGCTCCGTGAGACTGCTATCATTTCTACGTGAACATCTGCAATGTACAGGTAACGTTATTCCAGGCCAATAATGTCTCATTTACTCTTCCCAAACTTCTTCACAGTCCATTAAAACGTATGGAAACGACCTGACCTATATCCAGCCCACTTAAATATTTAGGCATGGTCCATAGTGCAAATTAACGCATTTTATTTTTCACTGATTTCTCAGGAATTTACAGGTAACAAGGACAGAAACACCGTGGTTAGGCATGACCTAAATCCACCAATTACGGCACGTTTTATCCGTTTTCAACCTGTCAGTTGGTTTGCACATATTTCCATGAGAGCGGAGCTTTATGGCTGCTTAGCCGGTAAAAAATATTGTTTAACTACTTATCCTTTTTGTTAATCTTTGCGTCTAAAGCGCGCGATCTGCTTGACCCAAGTGTGCTTTGCGCAAAAGTTCACTTAAGTATGCCTAAACCTTTGGCTCTGTCATTGTATGGAATGAACAGTCCAAAGTAAGACAGCGATATCAGAACGCAGCCTATGAAATAGATTAAAACACTTACAGTGGATCGGAGGTGAGGTGCACTTGTTACGAACAGATGATTTGAACAATACAAAACCACTAGAAGTACAGGCCCAAAGTTTGTCCTAGTGACCTCTGAATGCGAGATCAAACAATTCATTGTACCTCTCTTCACCCAGCGGAGGGGGGCGGGGAGAGAGGGGGTACTGATTGTCGACTTTTTATAGAATTTATGCATTGCAATTTAAGTAATATTCAAGTGATATTCAGTGTATGACCATTTATGCATAAAATACAGGAAAATGTATCGAACCCCTCGGTGTGCAAAGCGGTGAGATCTCCGACGAACAACTTTCTGCCTCTTCGGAATGGGACAGAAACCATGGAACCAAACGTGGCCGACTTAACATTGCAAAACAAGGGTCGCTGCGAGCTGCATGGTCTTCTCGCAGGAATGATCAAAACCAGTGGATACAGATCGATCTTCGCACTCATTACACGAGAGTGACAGCCGTAGCCACACAAGGAAGAGGTGACTGGGATCAGTGGGTCACCAAGTACAGGCTGCAGTACGGCCATGATGGAGAGAAATTTGAATTTTACAAGGAGCCAGGACAGACTGCACCCAAGGTAGAAGGAAGTGTAGATTTATGATAATCACTTTGTCACCACAGTCATCAAGATTTGAGAGGAGGCTATAAAGCTTCTTAAATGATTTGGTTTTATCAACTTAAATAATAATTAACATCAGTTTTTAATCAGTTGCCGAAGTGGTAGTGGCTAGTATTAGATATTTATTGTGATTCCCAAGTCGACGAGGTAAATATCCACCGCTTGCCTCACCCAATGAGGTTAATAGCTGTTTACATGTATACTTGAACAGTGGAAAATATGGTACCAAAAGATGATTGTAACTCGTGCAAAAATAATTCCTACAGCGATTGTAAGATTTCCGGGCACAATTCTCTCGTAAATTGTTCGGAGATGAATGGATATCCCGTGTTTGAGTAGCCGATCAAAGCGTGCCTCTAACACTATTCAATGTTCTAGCAAATACTTATACAAATTGGCCACCGTGAAGAGTTTCTAGAGCTGTTGTTTAGGGCGTTAGTTTCTTCAAAGGAAATCATGGAATTGTGGATTATGTGCGATAAATGTATAGAAAAATGGAGCTATGCTATTGTTGGGAACATGGTAACGTGAAAGCATCAGAGTAAATAAGCTGAATGTAAAACTTTCGTTGATACCATAGGGATTAAGGGCGCCGATTTTAAAGATAATTTTTTATTCTAGAGTCTTGCGGCTTTCCGAAATGCCAAGATGTAGGGAAAGGCCGCTGACTGCCATATGCATTTGCTGGTTGACTGATTTGGGAGATGAAGTGTCTATCGACTGGTTTGGATGCGTTACTTTCTATGTTAACAGTACCAAGGGGTATAATATAAGAGATTTATTCCTGTGCTCATTATTTTTGTTTAGGATTTTGCGGGAAACAAAGACAAGTACACCATTGTTTTTCACAAACTAAACAAGCCATTCTTTGCACGTTTCATTCGATTTCTTCCTCGGTCATGGCGTTCACATATCTCCATGCGAATGGAGGTGTATGGCTGCTCAGGTACGAATCATCTCATCTTTTTAAAAGTAGTTTCTCCTTCTTTACATGTGGGAGAAGCGATGGCCTTATGGTTAGTGCGCTGGACTCGGGGTCGAAAGCTCCTTGAAAGACTTGGTCGGGCCAATATTTATGAGTCGTGTTCTTGGGCAAAGCAATTTAATCTACCTTTCACAGTCCCTTTCCCTCCACCCAGGTCTGGGTCGTTCAAAGCTGGGTTAAGATATCTCAGAGTTGGTGTTAAGTCTTATTCAGCGTAATTCTTGTAGTCTGCAATTTATTAATTGGATGCCCTAAAAGGAATAAAGAAAATTAACCGAAAAAATTCCTTTTGAGCATAGGAATAAAAAACCCGGATTATAGTTTAACCCTTGGTCAGCACTAGTCCCTTCGCCAGATCGCCTCATGCCAAGGAAACCGTCTTTTCTTACCTCACTCAAAACGCTTTTTACGTGGGTAAAGAATGGAAAAATTTATACTGTGTCCTAGAAAACATAGCTAATCAAGATACTGGAACGCCGTTGTATACTCGACGATATTACACCGAGCCTTTTCATTGTGCTGTAAAATCTCCTCACCAAAATTTTGAAAGCCGCATCCTACATTTTCCAAGAATGTGACCACAATACTTTTATTTAAGTTCGCTCAGTGTATTCAGTATTGTGAGGTTTTATCACTTAAAGCTTTCCCTAAGATCACGAACTGAATCATTTCGATGGCGGAGAGCGGAAGCAAGTAGGTAAACACGGAAACACAAGTAACTCGTGGGACATTTCGTGATATATCACTCGAAATCACTGTATAATAAAGTACTTTCACGAATGCTCTTCGCTCTCTAGCTCTGGTAGAAAACATGGACCAGAATGGAGATGGATTTGCCAGCCAAAATGAGGTGGAAAGCTTTGGTTTAAATTGGAAAGGTAGTGTGGAACAATTCGATCTGAACGGTAAGTGTACATGTATCTCTCTATCTTTTGTTATGTTGAAGATCTTTAAGTGAACGTAAATGAGAATATCAAAGAAAAACTTACCTTTAGAATAGTTTTTATAGGGTGGCAAGGGGACTCTACCTTTCTTGTATGGAAACAATCTTGCTGTTATCAGTATTTAAACTAGCTAAATAGGTATGTACTACCCCAGAGTAAATGGTTTTGTGCTGTTTTGGTCGGAAAATGGGTACAGATTTTGTCAATTTTGGTATCGAATTGGATATGATTTCAAGGGAATGAGGAGAACGTGTGAATGCAGTTTCAAGTTTAAACAAGTAATGGAGAGAGAAAGGTCATAATAATAATGATGAAAAAGAGTATCTTTTTAATGGATGATTTTGGCTGTGTCATGATCAAAATTACATTTCTATCCATACAGACAACTGTAATATTTTTATGACAACTCCCCCCTCCCCTCATGGGCAGGTAATTGATAGTCAATTTTCAACAGTCCCCCCCCTTATACTCTGTATAAGAGTATAATCTAGCCCCCCTCCGTTCCCCATAAAAACCATTTGATTCCCCCGCCAAAATCCACCACCCCTCTCCCCTCCCGGGGATAATTAAATAATGAATGGCCTTTGAGGTCTAAATTGAAATGCTTAGAGTTTATCCTTTCGTCCATCTTTCATTGGCTCCTTATCTATTTCTTTGATTTTTTTTTTATCTGTATACGTAACTATCAAAACATTTGTTTTTTTTTCACAGCTGATGGCAAACTTAATCTGGAAGAGTCCAAAATTATGACGTCCAAAAGTCCATATGATTTGAAGCAAATCATGTGCCATTTCGAAGCCACTGATACGAACAACGATTTATACGTGACGGCTGGGGAGCTGAAGAAACGATTTGAGTACTTAAAATACGACATCTCTCTTAATGGCGTTACAGAATTTATTAAGAAGGGAGACGTTGATGAACTGGATAATAAATTCAGTTACAACGGTGAGGATAGAATTTATCACATCGGCATCATAAGTAGGGAGATAATACAGCTGTGCAATACACTGTATTCCACGACGTCTATTTGAATAATGCATTCTTCGTTGTCAAAACGAAACACATTTTCCTGATGGTAGAAAACACGCGAAGACGTACAAATTAAACAAGAGGGAACGTGAAAGGTCAAGGATGGGCCGAAAGTGTGAAAATAGATAAAAGAGAAAATAATGGGAAAAAACCTCTGTCCTAAAACTGTTTCTTAGTGGAACAGATTGTGGATGTTTATCTTGAAAGATTTTAACGCACAAACTGAGACATGTCGATAAAAGAGACCTTGAGATTCAAGGACGACTTCGACTACAAACTCAGTACCTAATTAATTTTCAGAGTTTTGACGAATGCCATGGAAATAGATGCATCTGTATCTTATGAGACTTCATTGAGTTTTTTTATAAAACAAAGTTTGCTCAGCGTAACTTGTTATTGTCGGTTAAAGATAAACCTGTTCAGATTGAAAGACTATGAAACGATTGGCGTTCGGTATTTTATTACCATTACATCTCAAAATATCGACGGCTATTGCTTTTTGTTTAACCGCTTGAATGGGTTAAGTTCGTGAGCTCCCCTTTATCACAATGTAAACTTCGATGCTCATCGAGGAATCTATATCGTCTGAAATATGTGGCAGCCTCGTCAGTCCTGCATTTTATTCTAATCAAAAAAGTTTATCCTTTCGTCCATCTTTCATTGACTCCTTATCTATTTCTTTGATTTTTTTTTATCTGTATACCTAACTATCAAAACATTTGTTTTTTTTCTTTAGAGTTCAGCTTGGCCATGTTTGGTGTTTGATACCCACACTCTTCTGTGAACCACAGTAGAAGCATCAAGTCAAATAGGCCTACGAAACATAAGCAACTGTTTTATTTGTTCTTGGGAAAGGTTGACGAAATATGTCTCAGTCCCATAGTGATGATAGTGGGATGTCTCAATAAAGGAAGTAGTTAAATCACTTATCTAGTTCGTGTTTGATTCTATATGTCAGAGCATGGAACATCGTAATCAGTTTATTGTTCCTTTTTATGGAGATCTGTCTGATAACTTTTTCCACGTAAAAATG